ATGTCAGAAGCACAATAGTCATACATGACACAAATCACAAACAAAATGCATAAAGCTTGTTTATTTGGTCTAATAATTTTTTTTATTTATTGTGCTGTAGCCTATTGTTGTTGCTTGATTAACATTAACAACAGCAGGTAAATTAGGTTACTGTCACTTTAAGACCTACTACAGTAATGACAAACGTCCCAATCAGTCATTACTGATTGTTTTACTTGCCAAGATGAATACTTCAGAGTTGCCAACTTTTGAGTTTTGCTTGGAGTGAGATTTGTTGGTGGGGGTTTGTAGGCTCACGTGCCGTTTGAACTGACGCGCTACAGCGATCTGTCACATTTAAAAGCACCAAAACGTTGGAAATATTGACAGAATCTGACAGCTGAGAATTTGTTCCATATCAAAAGTAACCTTCTCTGTCTAGTCTGTCGGTGTCAGTGTCCTCTTTCTCCGCGATTTTTTCTCTGCGTGAGAAAATGCAGAGGTAGTTAAGTAGTTATGAGCCTGAACTTGCTTATAGTAATTCGGAAATTAGTGCACATGAGTGAAAAAAAAAAAATACAGCACAGAAGAATATCTAATTTAGCGTGAGATTTCTTTGTTGAGCGTGAGGCCGTGAGATTGAGGCTGAATGCGTGAGTGTCACGCCAGATGCGTGAGAGTTGGCAACCCTGATTTTGAAGTAATTGTAGCTATGTGTATTTGTTCAATCGCTATAAAGAGAATTCAATATTCTAACTAGGCCGACAGGCGGTGACACGCAGTCAGTCAGTCACACACACACACACACACACACACACACGCAGTCAGAGACAGGCTGTTACTCGACTGGCTGAAATTAGTTCTCTTTCACGGTATACTGCGCTTTTAATAATTCTTTTTAGTACTATCGAGCATATCATACTTTTTGTTATGTCATTCAATCATGTTAAACGCGGTAATAAGTTTGCCGTACTGCCCAATGAAAACCTGGGCGCTTATGTGAGAGGGCAGGAGAGACGCTTTTTCTTTCGCCATGTTTCTGACAGACCGCTCACAGACATCACGCGTGCGCAACATCTATTCTGTACCCACGTAAAAATGCATTGAAACTTTAATTAACTAGAGATATTTCAATTGGGTGATTATGATTTATTGTTTTGTGAGGACTTTTTTTTTTTTTTTTGTGATTATTTTGCGGTTAAATTAGGAATTATGCAGGATTGCAAAAAAATGCAACATTTTGTTGATTTTGCGTTGTATTCAGCGATCGCAGAATCGCAAAAAACTGGAGGGACTGATTAATAGGGGTGGGAATCTTTTACCATCTCACGATTCAATTCGATTCCGATTCTTGAGGCCACGATTCGATTCAAAATCGATTTTCGATTCAAAAAGATTTTTGATTTAAAACGATTCGATTTTATCCATAATGATTTCTAATCGGGTTTCTGATCATGATCTACTCTCATCTGCTTTGCTATACAGAATGACAAACGGAGACCAGTGTTTCCTCTAGGATTTTTTCCAGCTGTGGTGGCAGGCCCATTTCGCCAGGGGGAGAGGGCGTGGCCCATGAGTGATATTCCATTGGCCACGCCCCCCTTACCCCAGGTGTTTAAACCTCCCCTAAGCATTATAACATTATAACATGAAAGGCTCGAATAAGAGCGGCAAAGCGATTATGCGCATCCCGTGCGCAGAATGATGCACTTGAAGCAACGCGAAGTCACAGCGCGCAGCGCTCCGGATTGAAAAGTTCAAAGCACACAGACTGATCTCATGAAATGGCGTATGTATGACACGCCAATTCGTATTTCCATTTTTGGCGTGCTATCAACACGCATAATCGCTTTTCAGCGTGTTTATCAACGCCTTTGACTTAACGTTATATTACTGTATTATGTATATATAAATATATGACCTACCCCAACCCCGTCCCTAAACCTACCCGTCACTGGGGTTAATACCATTTATGAGTCTTCTCCTACCATCCTAGGAAAAGAAATATCGCTCCACAGATGTAGATATAGATTTTGCTTCGTTTCGCTCGGACATTTAACGGCGTACACATACACGCGGAATCACTCGGACGTTTAATGGCGTAGACATACACGCAAAAGATTTCGGCGTGGACATACACGCGGATAGCTCATAATGCGTATAGATAACACGCCACTTGAATTGAAAGTGGCGTGTATGTTTACGCAAAGTCATGATGTCATGTTGAAGCACAAAACGAAGAGATTATATCTGTCTATCTATGCTTAATGTATTATATATATGCAACAGTTTATTGAGCATTTTCTTTTAACAGTTTTGAATTTCAGAAACAGTGCGCATGAAGAACAATTCATAGCGCTCTCCAGTGCTGTAATCTAACAGACACCCGGGAGAAAGGATTATGATTTAGAAAACGCTATAACGCGACGCGCTGTGTGAATGCTGAATGGAGAATGACTGAGGAGAGATGAGTTTCTATTAACTTTAACTAACGACTTAAATATTCATTTTTACCTCACATTATGCTATTGAATGACTTTAGAAGTCTTGGAATATAGTGTGAACACTTTATGGTGCTTTACAATGTTTTTTATGCCTTTAGCTTAACAATAACACAATAGTATACACATTAATATCGGACCTCACTGAGAGGCTGCAGCCGTGGCGGGATTATTTTAGGTGTGGCGGCCGGCCACGGCAGATGAATGTAGAAGCATCATATTTAGAAGCATCAGAAGCTTCATAGAAGCATCCACATTTGCTTCCTTTGATTTGCCGCTCACGTTCAAAAACCTACTGCGTGCATGACGTCCGGACGTCCCGTATAGGCTATAGTTACAAAAATGGAGGCGAACAGCCAGCTGATTTTATTTATTTATTAAATCGATTCTTGAACATTTCAGATCGATTCTGAATCGTTGCAAATGAGAATCTAGATTCTTCTGTGAATCGATTTTTTGGCACACCCCTACTGATTAATAAACGAATTCAAAGTATTAAAAAAACTACAATACCATCACAAAAATACTAAAATAACACTTGATACTACTTAGTATTGTGATACTTTAGCTGGTATGCCAAAGTTAAGATACTGTGACAACTAAGGGTGAAATCGATTGAAATTAAGTCACAATCTCGAACTTCGAATTTAAAAATGGAATCGTCGATGCTGTCACGCCCCCATGTCACGGAAAAAAACCCGCGTGTTGAAGTGCTGCGATTCAACCTCCTCTAACTTAGCTACAGCCAGTCAAAAGATAGCATGGCAACTGCAGATGCAGGAGACCCATCGACACAACTTGAACCGTCTACTCTTTTGTTGAAATCACCGGTGTGGAAGTATTTTGGATTTCCAGTGAGTTATGTTGTCAACGTTCGCGTTTCAAAAAGCTAGTTTTCAAGCTCTGCTATGTGCGTGTACTAGTGATGCAATGGTCGGCTTTTTTTCCAACCCGCGGGTCCCGCTTTTATGAAATTATTTGGCCCGCCCCAGCCCGCACCGCACCACTGTATCTATTTTTACAACCCGCCCCGCCCCGCACCCGCGACCGTTAAATAGACATAATACTAGGCATTGTAATGTAAATGAAAACAGCCTTTATTTCAGCCTGAAAGTGCTTGGAAACATCGCCCTGTAAACTGGCAACAAGAGACGATTATGAATATGAATCATAAATCAGGCCATATTAATAAGATACTAATTAACATTTTCAACATTTACAAAGCAGCGTTTGTATTCATCTAATAGGCTAAACCATTTTTTATTTCTTAGACCCCCCACAGATGTCTTGACATGCTGGAAGTGCCCGTTTTGTGGCGCTACTGTTTGTATATTTTTCACACGAGTTGCACTTCAGGTAGCCGATACTACTGTTGTCTCCTGCCGCAACTATTTCTGAGAACAGCTCCCAAACATTAGATTTAGCAGCCTAACCTTATTTTTCTTTTCAATTTAATCAGGTAAATTCCCGACCTCAATTTCTCCCGCTCCTCGTCTTCCATCTTCACTTTTATTTCTCCGTTGTTGTTGTCGTGGCTGGCGGCGGGAGCTGCGGAGCTGCTTGGCGCGCCGTTTTCGTGACGTGTCACGTGACGCCAAATGTTTATGGACCTCACGCAAGCATTCGTATTGTAACCTTATCAAATAACCTAATAAAATACGAAAATAGATATTCCCAAATATTTAATATAGGCTGGAAATTGCAAGCAACATACATGGATTAAAAAAAAAAAATAATAATGACCCGCCCCAACCCACCCCGCAAATAAAGTGACAATTTCTTTACCCGCCCCGCGGGTTACGAGTCGGCCCGCGCATCACTAGCGTGTACCATTTTCTTCCACTGGCAGCACGACTAACATGGCAGGGCATCTCCCCAAAAACATAGATTTATCTGTTAAATCAACAACTGTTTGTTTGTTTTGTGAACTTGAATGTGGTCATCTGCCTGTTTGCGAGGCGGCTTTATGTATGTGATACATAATTCCGTCATGTCACGACTCCTGAAACGTGAGAGCAGCGCGCTTGACGATTGCCTTGTGCAACCCATTTTGAGAGACAGAGAGAGAGAAGACGCGGCACCGCTGAACACTCACGCTGTTTGTGAAATTGCATTTCGCAGAGAGTTTAAAATGACTGATTTGATTTTATAATCTGCACGGTATGGCAGGTTATGGCAAAATATGGCAGGTTATATTGCTTAAGTTTCCAATTGACTAAAGATATACGGTATTATATTATATTATAAGCACTTTATGTTGTTAATAAATGTTTTAAATTTGACAATGTAGTGTGGTACATTGCGAACAAAGGTCAGATATTATATTGCATAAAAGTATATTCTAAAAATGGCATAGCAACCTGTGCTTTAAAAAAAAAGAAGAAGTAAAAATCGAGAATCGAATGGAACCGTGACCTTAGAATCGAAAATTCAATCGAATCGAAGATTTGGAGAATCGTGACACCCCTAGTTTAAGTACATCATTCCTAAATCAGAAAGCAATGCTTTAGCTGTGCTTACAAATGTAGGGTCTTTGTTGAGACAGGAGTCCACGAACTCCTTGAAGATCTTGGAGAAGTCTCCGTTGAGGGTGGGTGGCGTGTTCTTGGGGATGTGGAAGAGGACTCGCATGGGGTGCATGTCTGAGTTCGGCGGCTCGCCCTTGGCCAGCTCAATGGCAGTGATCCCAAGAGACCAGATATCAGCCTGAGAGCAAAACAAACTGCTTTATGAGGTCCGACACAAACCGAGCAAGCCATAATAAAATGACTTTCAGAATAAAGCAAGAAGGAGTGAGTTAAAAACATCATTGCTTTATAACCGTACTTTAACACAATGAAAGCATCTCAAATAATAATAAAGGAATTTGTAGACGTCATCATCTTTACATATAAAAAAGAAACATATTCTCTTTTTGGGCATCCTTATGCTGTTTTAAAGATTAACATCGTAAAGCATGAATAAAATAACCGATTAGCTTGTTGGAGGAAGTAAAGTTTATGTGCGATAAAACACTGTGATTGTATGTTAAAGTACAATATGACAAAACACGCTCGCTAGATAAAAATCACATATTTTTCTTTCAAGTTTAAAGGTAGATTTTTGCTCCTTAATTTAACAGTTAATTTAAACTACTCTTACGGTCAGAACACGACAAACACAAACATCTCACAAATCTGAGGTAGAATCTTCTAAACATTTATAATGATAAAATATTTATATATTTTATTATTATAAAAAAAAAAAACATCAAAATATGCACAAGTAAACTTATATAAAATCCTTTTTGTCCCCTTTGTCTCCTTGTCTTGTCCCCTAAAAATAAATATCTTAATAGTCAAATTAATTTCTTAGTTTCTACATGTGCTAACGGGTAAAACAGGTTTGTGTCGTCGCAATATTAATATTTTGCGTTTTGTCTCTTAGAAACGCACATTTGACAGTAGCTTGAGTTTGGATACAGATTTATGTTCATTTACAAAAACAGTAACATCTGTAAAAATTTTAACAACGTTATTTTTGTATGGTAAATGTAAATATTCTGACAGTTTGAGTTAAGACTTTTATTACAATTAACCATTGGTCATCTATAGAATCATACCTTTAGATCATGATAATAACAGGTAAAAGCACACATATTGCACCTCACCATCATGGTAAAATATAGTTTCTATGGTATTAGTTGTGACAAACAATAGCCTAAAGACAAATGCTACAGCTTAATAACAAAAATCATATTCCATTACACCTTTAATACATCTCTACATTAATAATATAATAAAATTCGATATGAACAGCCCACATTTCTGCCACAATCCCATGGTGCAGTTAGCGTAACTAAAGTAAATCCATGGTGAATGATGGTGATTTGTAGATTGAAAAGCCTTGGGACTGTACAGTGTTTGTCCGCGCGGTTTCATCTGGCTTTAAATCTCAGAGACATTCGTGTTCTTCGCTGAATTCAAGCGCTTCTCACTGGATCTCACAGCGCTGTTCAGTGGTCACGTGACTGATCAGAGAGTAAACGAATCTGCCGCTTTAACATTGAGCCGAGCGGATAAATGGTCTGTGTGGTGAAGTTGATGCATAAACCGATCAACATTTGTTTAAATAATTTTTATTGCAATAATTATCACCCAGCCCTAAATGATATGTATGTTTATATATGGATACGTGTCAACACTTTAGCCTTTAATAACTGCACTGAGCTTCATTTTTCTTAATAATTAGTGGTTTGCATTACAACACCGATTTGAGCTCTCACACTCATTATGGCCCTGCTCTATAAAGAACGGTGTGATTATGGAATCATAATCAGGGAGTTGAGATGATAAACAAGCCTGCTGCAGGTGTATAAGCGGGTTAAAGTAGATTAAGCACAGAGGGACTTACCTTTGAGTCATAAGCAGACTGTTGGATGACCTCTGGTGCCATCCAGAACGGTGTACCCACAAACGTCTCCCTTTTGATCTGTGTGTCTGTCAGCTGTCCCGCCACACCGAAGTCTGCCAGCTTCACCTCTCCAGACTCAGACAACAGGACGTTGGCGGCTGTAACCATGTAAAGATAAGAGACAATGAAGAAAAACAGACACAGAAACTTTGAATCATCAAAAACTGATGAATTTGGCAAGTGGGGCATAAACGACATACCCAAAATAAAAAGGTTCCTGATCAGAAGTCATTCTGAATGGACACAAACATATATTTAGAAAGCCAACACTTGAGAGTTTACCGTTCAAGATTAATATGGAGATATACAAGCTCAAACATAAAAACTAAAATATTAAATATATATTTTTTAAATGCATAAAATATTATGAGGCTGTGTTGTATCAACTAAGAAACACAATGACCCTGAAGCCAGAAGTCTACTCGTACTTCTGAGGATGTTGAATGTTATCTCTAAAACTATGAATTTTATGAAACATTTTTTAAGACTATGTCATGTGAGTTTTTAGAGATAAGATGCTAATAAGATATTTTATTGCCCTGTAAATGCCCATTTGCAGTCTATTGCCTAATGTCTGGTGAGGAGAACTGCCCCTATTCATGTTTCTATTGTTCTCACTCGACGAACCGGTTTGTTCACAGAGAGCCGCTTCACAGACGTGAACCAGTGCAGACTTAAGTCCTTTTTGGGCATCTTATCGCACTTGAATCAATGAGAGCGTGATCATTGGAAAATAAATTAATTGTGTTTTAAGAAATATGTTCATTTTGACAGCCCTAAGATATAACGTTGAGAAGATATGAATATGAGCAGGGGTGGATATGTAGGCTATGCATAGATGTACATGGGAATGTTATTGTTTTAATTGTTTTTTTTATTTATGCATATTGTTGTGTTTTTCTGGTGTCCTTGTGTGTGGCGTATAGTGAAGCCAAAGACAAATTTCCACTTGTGGACAATAAAGGAACTAAACTAAACTATAAATAACGTGAACGTAGTGTAGGGGTGGGCGATTTGAGCAAAAATTCATATCACGATATTTTTCACTGTCCGGACGATATCGATGTTATATTGCGATATGAGAAAAAAAAAATTGGAATCACATTTTAGTACACCTTAGTTAAATTACAGGCAAAATATGTATTTTAACCATATAACTAGAAAAAGATTAGGGATTTAATTGGACATCTTTAAAAAATCTTTTTTTATTCTGCCCTTGTTTTTCTCAAAAAGTGCAAACGTGCAACATGAGGTCGGCCTGAATTCACTATTTCACTTGCTATCTCTTTCCACTTTTTATTTTGCGGGGGTCAAAATAATTCCTTCGCTAATAATTCTTAAGACGAGTAACACTGGAGTTCGGTTTATCGAATACATTATAATCAATAAATATGAAATAGTGTGATTTCAGAGAGGTTTGACACTTAGGCCTAATTGAAGACAACATTATGTTAACCGAGAAGTTTTTGTATACTGACCAAAAGAGAGAAGTAGGCTACATACATCCTGCTAATTCAGTGGTGAGAATTTAATTGTTTTTATTTATATTGTTGTCCATTTATCGAACTTCCATACCTCTTATATAATAATTATATATTAATAATGCTTGGACACACTCGCTATCGCTTGCGGAGTTCGCTTCGCTTTTTTCCAGTCCGGCGCCTCATAGACAGACACTGTGTGTGTGTGTGTGTGTGTGTGTGTGTGTGTGTGTGTGTGTGTGTGTGTGTTTGTGTGTGTGTGTGTGTGTGTGTGTGTGTGTGAGAGAGAGACGCGTGAGTGACCGAGACGGAGTGACAGAACGAATACACTACATGTTTTAAATAGCGTAAAAAAATAAATGAATAACGAAACGCATTATGTGGCGGCCGGTGTTAATCATGTGGCGCACCGCCACGAATTAGTCCATGTGTGGGAAACACTGGACTGTTACCATGCTCTCTGTGTTTGATTATTAATGCCTGTTCATCACGCGAGTTGGACACAGAGGAAAAGGTTAAACGTTCAGCCTCGATTCTGTATCGTCATTAGTAGGCCTAGTGTTAAAAGTTGTAAAGAGTACCAAATTGAACAAAGCAATATAACTGAAAAATTTGAATTTATGAATATCAAAAGTAGGGGTGGGCGATATGGCAAAAATATCATATCACGATTTTTTTCAGGAAAATCACAATTTACGATTTTATCACGATTCTTTTTCATGTTGGTTTTACTATTTTGCAAGTGATTGAGCATTACAGCCAAACTAATGTCCCTATTTAAAAAAAAAAGCCTTATAGGTAACAAAAGAAAAAAGAATGGCAGACATTTAGGCCAAAGTGGCGAAGATAAAAATCTTTATCATTATTTTCTTTGTTATTAAGAATTAGGAACAAAGATACACATTAAGCATACACAACTTAATATACAAATGAAATAAACAGTGCTTTATTTTTTCAGCTACAGTAGGGGTATTTAACAGTAGCATTGAAGAAAGTAATTTGGCTAAATGAACAAATACGAAAATAAAACACAACATAGACTTCACTGTATAAATTATACATTGATTATTATTAAAGCTACTACTAAAGTTCTCAGTCAAGAGCAGTGAGTGATTTCCTCTGTGTTTTGCTGTTTTATTAACATTAAAGGGATAGTTCTCCCAAACATTTTAATTGTCATCATTTACTCTCTCAAGTTGTTTTAAACCCGAATAAGTTTCTTTCTTCTGTTGAAAATGAAAGTTATTTGTTAGAATGTGGCTAACCAAACAGTTGCTGTACTCCAGTGACTTCCATAGTATATGTTTTCCTACTATGGAAGTCAATGGGGACCAGCAACTGTTTGGTTAGCCACATTCTTCCAAATAACTTTTATTTTCAACAGAAGAAAGAAATTAATACAGGTTTGGAACATTAGAGTGAGTAAATAATGACAGAATTTTTATTTTTGGGTGAACTATCTCTTTAAGGACAAGCGGCAGCTTGTTTACTAACTGGCTACTGTCACTTTAAGAGCTGCACGCGACGCGTCTAATATACACGCATTTGACAAGCAGATTTTCGCTCATTTTTTTTCTGTTTGCTTTCACTTTAGACATAACCAACTTTGTTTATGTAAACCTTGTGTGTATTTGACAATATTAGCGCAATAAGACTCGAAAGATAACTTATAACGTAGTCCAGTAAACAGACGCTGTTAGACAGGCTTTTAGTGCCCGTGTGCTTCGGGTGTATGCGCTCAGAAAGCACTCGTCAGAACAGCGCATCAGCAGTGAATTACATGTTTAACCAGCGAGGCTTTAAAGCACATGCAAATAATGAACTTCTGTGAACTGCAGTGTCCCGTTCCTCTGCGTTAACATTTGTTGTATGTAGGGATGCACGATATAGGATTTTGGCCGATATTCGATATGCCGATATTTTCAAACTAATTTTGCCTGATGCCGATACCGATGTATTTGTATTTTTTTTAAGTGCAAAAAAAGCTTATTAAAGCTTCTATTAATGTTCTCAGTCAAGAGGAGTGAGTGATTTCCTCTGTGTTTTGTTGTTTTATTAACATTAACGGGATAGTTCTCCCAAAAATTTAAATTGTCATCATTTACTCTCTCAAGTTTCTTTCTTCTGTTGAAATTATAAAAAGTTATTTGGAAGAATGTGGCTAACCAAACAGTTGCTGTACTCCAGTGACTTCCATAGTATATTTAAGCACCAGAAAGAAATGAATCCAGGTTTGAAACAACATTAGATAGACAGAATTTTTATTTCTGGGTGCAGTATCTCTTTAAAGACAAGCGGCAGAATATTATTACTGTCTCTTTAAGAACTGCACGCGACGCGTCTAATAGACACGCATTTGACAAGCAGATTTTCTCTGTTTGCTTTCACTTTAGACATAACCAACTTTGTTTATGTAAACCTTGTGTGTATTTGACAGTATCAGCGCAATAAGACTGGAAAGATTAGTAAAGTATGCAGGCGCTGTGACAGGCTTTAGTTCCTGTGAGCGTCGGGTGTAACGCGCTCAGAAAAGCGGATGTTAGAACAGCGCATCAGCACGTGAATGACATGTTTACCTAGCAAGACTTTGTTCACATGCAAACAATGAACTTTTGTGAATTGCGGTGTCCCGTGAGTGTAACTCTACCTCTGCGTTTACATGTGATGTGATGTGAATGTACGTCGCGTTGTACAGTATGTTGAGATGAAGGCGCCAGAATTGAACTGATAGAATGCACGATACTATGATTTTTCTTCAAAAGCAGATAGTGGAGACATTTTAATCGTCCACGATCAAAAACCGTGAGACGCACGGCACACCCCTAGCTGGAAGTTTAAGTTGCTGGCGCTCATGCTTCGTTCGCGGTCGTCACGTGCGCATAGGAAACACGCCACCCTATCGGCAAGACTCATCGGCAGAAATATTCATATCGGCCGATGCCGATGATGGTCATTTTAAGCTTTTATCGGCCGATACCGATGTTGTCCCGATATCATCGTGCATCCCTAGTTGTATGTTGAGACGGAGCTCGGCGCCAGAACTGCAACTGATAGAATGCACGATACTATGATATTTCTTCAAAAGCAGATCGTGGAGACATTTTAATCGTCCACGATCAAAAACCGTGATATCGCACACCCCTAATCAAAAGGTATTCTCGGTATCGCAAAATCCATATCATGGTACAACATAATACCGGTAGTCACGTTGATATCGGTATAGCGCTAGGGCTGGGGCGGTAAGGATTTTTTCTAACCGCGGTTGAAAAGCAAGATATTCCCGCGGTATAGCGGTAAACCGCTTTAACCCCCCCCCGAAAAAAACGAGCACAATTTGAAAGAGTGCGATTTTCATTAAGCTGTAATTTGGCATGAACCAATCACTGAATAGATTTCCTAATTTAAGAATATTCTCAGATACATTCGCATTGAATTCATCATTTTCAGGAGAATACATTATGATGTTGAACGAAATGAAAGATGAACAGCTTTTCCAACATGTCTTAATTACAAAAATGATATTCCATATTTATGTTAACATAATATAATGTTATTTTTTATTTAATCTATGTCGATTATATGAAAAGTGAACACCATGAATAAGATAGGATCATAAGATGGGTCAGACATGATTTTGACCACTTTATTAAGTTTTGTTTTGTAGAAAGCCTTTCTTTAAATTAAATTTCGTTTTGTATAAATTGTATCTTAATTTTAATCACTGTTTCATTAACTAATTGCCTGGAATTATACAAATATAGCAGACATATAACCAGGACGATGTGGAAGCGACGGTGCGATCTCTTGCGCGTGAACTGGAGCTCGTCTCATAAATGAACCGAAACTTGTGCGCCCATCGGAGACGGAGTTCACTGCTGATATTCTGAGGATACAACATAGCCAATAGGCTATACTAGGGACTTTAGCCTTTAGATATCTGTGCTGCATGCGCAGTCTCCTTTCTAGAACAGCCAAGAGCTTTCTAGCCTCGCGGCAGCAGCGCCGCTTTTATAGACCTTAAAACTGATTAAAAAAATCAAAAAACGAAAATTGATCAAAAAACGTTGGTGCGGATGGATGGCGGACAGATGATGCGTTTTGTGCTGCGGTTCCGTTGCGGATGAAATAATAATAGCCCATCCGCGCATCTCTAATACGAATGTAATGCTATGTGTCATGGAACATTGCGCTCCCCAACTCGCGAAAGGGATTTGCTCCATCTTTTGATAAGTTTTGTTTAGAAAACCTTGAATCCAAGACACACTATCATTAGAAATAATCCATGTCATTAGAATCAATGAATCCATATCATTAGACACAACGTGCACACATGTGCAGGCCAATGTTTTTTTTTTTTTTTTTGGTGATGACGGTGACGAGCTCAGACCCGCGGTTGGAGTCACGTGACCGCGGTATTGCGGTAATGCGGTAACCGTCCCAGCCCTAATAGCGCTCACCCCTAACGTGGTGCGCATTGCGTTTCCAAATGAACGTTGAACTCACAGAACTTGCTGGAGTCCGTGAGAAGCAGCATTTACTGTGAACCAAAGCTGCATGTGTGTAAATGAATGTAGTTTCTCAAACTCAAACATCACAGCTCTTACAGGTGCTTGTAAATGCATGTCTAAATTGGTCAAAGTAAAAAAAAAAAGGTCCAACATTAGGAATACTTTTAGCTGTGTTTTTAAGTGCAATTGAGTAAGCTAACGCTGTCTAGATGGGGTTTTTCCTGAATTAAAAATATTTTGCCGGCTGCCAAAACGAATCTTTGTCCTGCAAAAGATTTATTCTGATAGCCGGTTGCTTTAAACACTTAAAAATATTCCTGTGACTGTGCAAGCGCTCTGTGAAGAGCATCAGAGGTTTCTATTTACAACGTTTTTGTAGCCAATCACAGACATATCTGTTGAACGTGTGAAAGCAAGAGCCAATCAGATGTGTTTAAGTTAGTCAGAATCTGCGAATCCTTTCATTATAACCAACAAAATATAAACACAATGTCAATACAAGATTCATTGCACATCTTTATTGATTATAACAGAAGTTTTTGCAAGACTGCAGATTTGTGTGCCTCACGTTGTAATTCTTTGTTCGGTTTCTGTATAGAATACATTTAAGCTGTTAACATTGCAGAGTTTCTGGATTGACAAGTGTATTTAAATGCGTAATTGAACCGATTGACCGTGAAAACCATAGCAATGGACGGAACAAAACAATCTGATATTATGTAAAGTGATGCAAATGATTAATTCTGCCACTTTTTCCACGCAGTGTGTTACTTTATTGTTCATTTTATTTACTTTCAAATTAGTCACTCAGTGACTTTTTGTAAATAAATTTACAGTTTTTTTTTTTTATAAAATAGTTTTTAAAAAAGCACTTTGTTTTATGATCTGTCCTGACAGTGAATATATTTTTTTTAGAGAATAAATAAGATAAGTAAATATTACAAACTGGTTCTTTGCATTAATTATAGGGGTGGGAATCTCTAGGCACCTCACGATTCGATTCGATTACGATTCAGAGGGCTGCGATTCGATGCTAAATCGATTATCAGAATCTTTTTTTTGTGTGTGTGTGACTATAAATACTTTGCTTTAAAAGTACAAAGTAATGACCCATAAAGAATTAACGTACAATATATTTTATTAACATTGCAAAGAACCAACAGGAAAATACATGTGTGTCTGAACTAGCAGCAGCATATTTGTAGTAAATTAATAATATAACAACGACCGGTAACGTTACAGCCGAGTGTTTTTCCTCCTCTGGCTGGAAACGTGTCATATGGCTTCATGTGTCTTGTTTCCGAAATATTTTAGTTTTACTCTACAAAGCTTACAACTAGTGTGGCTCTTGTCCAGCTCCTTTCCCCCTTCAACTTCAGAAGCCAAAATATTTCCACACGTCAGCTTTTAACGAGGAGGGTGTTTGGATTTGGCGCTCAGCCATCGCGTCCGCGTCTGTTATGTGCACGCCACAGACGGTCCGACCACTGCACTTCCGCGCTTCAGAGTTCCGTCTTTCGCGTTCCGTCAATATTACGTTATTATAAATATATTTCTAAATTTTTTTTTTTTTTTTGGAAAATCGATTTTTGACAATTGTGAATCGATTCAGAATCGTCCACATCCGCATCGCGATGCATCTAAGAATCGATTTTTCCCCCCACCCCTAATTAATTATGGATGTATTGTCAGTACTGGGCTCGCGGTTCACATGGGAAGATGACCATGTTCATCCGCCACCACCACCCAAAAATTATTTTGCAAAACTCTGCAAGAGAGAATGAGCATCTTACATATAATAAACCAATCCAACACATCTGCACTGGTCACTTATTTTGACATGACACACCACAACTGTTGTTTAAGGCTGTCTACACTGGACACTTAAAAGGAAACATTATAATCTGATTAACTGAATGGGTGCATAACGATGTTGCATCGCAATGTCTCGTTCGCTTTATGCATTTAATCATTGAAGGCCTAAAAGCAGCGAATTTTGGCTTGCACTCCTGTTCCCGAAGTTGAATGTCTTTTCATATGTAACGCGTCAATCATGATCCCAAACTCTTGCTATAGGTT